CAAGGGCGTAATTGTTGTCCTGTGGCAAGGGCTTCTGAAAAGCTCGAGCTTCGCCGAACAAAAAAAAAAAAAAATCACGAGAACAAGATTCGTGCAACAACTGAAAAGCCTGCCAGTGCGAGACCGTCTTCCATGGCTACTGCGTGTGACGCGCATCTGGGCTCGCCGCGCGTTGTAGGCTTTTTTTTACGCGTAATAGTACGTAAGCCTCGAAGGACAGCGGAACCATTTCCAGACTTCTGTCGGTTGGCTGTTGAACAGGAAGCGGGTCCCGTAGGGAACGCGTAGATGCACAAACACGGCACGAAGTGAGGTGCGCGAATCGACGACGCCAGCGCATCCCACTGCGGCCACCTCTGCACGAGTTTTAATTGGTCGCGCGCGCATGCATCTTGTCGTGCAGAAGAAAAAAACCGTGCAGCGTTGCCGAAGCATGAAAAAACGTTCGTCGCTAAGACGGTCTCGTCGTTGTGTAGAAGTCTGCGGTATGCTTCCATTCATTGGCGGACGTGCACGAACCTATACACCAATGGGCGCGCGCTCCAGATTGACGTCATGAGACCGACGGCCCGTGGTTGATCCCGCCTTCAGAGAAGATCGCTGAGCACGGAGCAAGAAGAAAGCACGAGTAATGCCAAGTGAAGCCCACTGAGTCGGCCCAACGTGTAATCAAAACGTCAGAGCGTGCGGTAGGTTTCAGTACAGTCAGTGTCGGTGGTGTACCGTTGGTACTGTCGTGTGTACCGTCACCTCCTGCGTGAGCCGGCCGGTCTGCGACGAACAAGCATGCTTCGGATAAAACCTATACCGGGGCGCCACACTTGCAAGTCTCGTTGCTCGCGTGATCTTGACGTAAAGGGTCACGTGTTGGGCTGGCTTAAAAAACGGCTTGGCTGCGTGACGTAATTCTCCCTTCTCTTTCTTCTGCCATGTTGCTGAGCGACCAGCTGTACAGTCTCGTGGTGTTCTGGGGCGGAGCTTCTGCGGACTTTCCTAAATTGTATCCAATCATCGTTGAGGTTTTCGAGCGCCATCTGTAGTATGTATAGTTCAGTTCCTTTGTGCTCGAAGGCAGGTGTTCGAATCTCAATGGCTACGTTTTTGACAAGGGCAAAACGCCCGTTTACGTGGATATAATTATGCGATCGCTATGTAAACCCAAGGAGGTCGAAAAGATTAATAGCGCCGGTTCCTCCAAGGTGCTTGCGCCCCTTTAAGTATTCCCCTAGAGTGCGACTGGGAGTATACAAATGAACGCGTGGGTGCGCAGGCCGATTGTGATCCCCGGTGCCAAAAAGTGTCTCGTGCAACTATCGAGTCGTGTACCACATTCTTTGGTTTTCTGCGGCAGTCTTCGCAAGTTAGTGCGCCATGAGTGTGCATTCTGAACCTCAGGTGGTCGAAATTTCCGGAGCCCTCCACTACGGCGTCTCTCAAAATCATATAGTGGTTTTGGGACGTTAAACCCCACATATCAATCGAGGGTGCATTCTGTAGTCCCGTGCATCGCGATCGGCGTTTGGTGCACTCGGGTGTGCTCAGCGCCGCGCCGGTGTGCATACAATGGCGTCCTCCTGCTTGCGGGCGATCTTGCACCCGGTGCTGTTGCATCAAAGGGCCGCACAATGCTCGTCCGACGCGCGTCGGTGCCTGCGTGTGGCGAACGAGCGTTGAATGGAAGCTGGCAGGGCGAAAGTTCCTCTCTCGTTTTGTCCACACCTCTTTGTGACTGTGCGCGCGCTTTTGAGTCGGTGCGCCTATCTTGCTTTGAAGTGATTGGTGCCGCACAAGGAGGATTAAAGGAAAATTGCTGGAGTGGAAGCTCCCGCACTGCTTTGCCAGCAGACGTGAAGCCACCTTTTGCCACTGCCAAGATGGCGGAAACATGTTCTTTTCTGATAGTGCCCACTTAGAGATCAAGTGGCTTTGATATTTAATGTAAATGCTACGTTAGTTCTATATTAAAAGATAGTTGTTCCCGACGAAATAACACGCAGAAACGAGTATGGATAACTGAATCTTCAAAGAACTTTGCCTCCAATTACAGGCTCACTAAGGAAAACTAGTAACTGTAAAACGCACTTGGAGCACTATGTGACCCAAAAAAGTTCCCATATTAAACTTGTTGGGCGTGCGAGAGAAACGCTTCGTTTTTAATCGCTGAACGGTGATACTTTATCATGCCCCTAGGAAGATGGCCGCCACAACCGCCATCTTGCCAGAGGAACGGCTTCACTTCTGTGGAATCATTACCACTCCAGCAATTTTTAAAATCCTCCTTTGTGCCGCATCGCTCGCCGTTTCCTCCCGGGAAGGTTTTGCTGTCAATATATATATATATATATATATATATATATATATATATATATATATATATATATAATATGCGTGTGTTTGTGTTGGGAACTTCATTAAGTGGTATTGATATAACAGGTGTTGTCGTTGACTCTGGTTCTTCAACATGGTGGATTTGATGACGTAAAGTCAGTATTAGAAGTGGCTATTGGCCTGCTTCATTGTGAGAACGACGCCGCTTGTACGTTCTTGTCATACGTGCAAAAGTGTAATGAAGGAATTTTTAATGTCGCAATAGCGATGACGTTACCATGGCGTCACAAACTTCCTGCCATCTATCCTATGCAGGCACTTTTTATGTGGCCGTTTCAGTGACGTCAGTGTTAGCATTCTTTGTAGCGTTTGACAACGTACGCTCCTTACCATGGAAGAGTTCACTAACGTTCACTAACTTTCTGCGTAATCGTTAACGGTCTTCCGGTTTGTGCTGCACAAGACCCAAATAAAGGTATCCCATTTTATTGTGACTTCACGTAGAATGCGAAGTGAAGTTGCCGCTCAATATTGTCGGCGCGCCTTAGTAAAGCTGTGTTGGGTGTTTGCTGGCGTAGAGTGATGGTCTGTCAAGGACGGAGCCACGTAATTTCAGCTATGGTACTAACGTCATGAAAGGGAACGCCAGTAGCCCAGAAAATCGTCTTTGCGGCCAACGCATCTTCAACTATATTGTTACTGAGATACGTTTCGCTTTCGTGCTTGTGAACGATTCGTGTTACAAAGATGTGTCAGCCACCAATTGCCTCCTGTTCCCTCGCACTGGCCTCTGGCTTAGTATATTGTTTTTCAAAAGTTGTGCTTCTTTCTCGATGCCAGGATACCCTCTGATAGCGTAAACAGCGTGTTCGATTTCTTTGTTTCTTCCGTTGATTGGCGGCACAATGTGCCGCGCGATATTTATTCCTTGTTTCGCAAGTCCGCGAAGTACTACGGAGTTGGAGCGCTCCCGGTTTGGTGTTTACACTCTTGTACAACTTGCGCAACATGCTGTATTGTCGTGCACGCTTGTTTGACGGGACTTGCGTGTGCGCGTCTCCGCACTCAAGCAAGCAAGGAGGCCGAGGGGTGTGTTGTTTTGACCGCGGACGTTTCACGTATACACTCGTCTATGAGCGTTTTGCCCGACAAGTATAGGCCCTCTTCATATCATCTAACAGGAGAGGCTGCTATGGTTGGGAGAATTCGTTGCGGGGCTTATGCGAGCGTAGAAAGATTGCGTGCGATGTTCCCGACGTTCTATCGAGGTTCCTGCGCCTGGTTCTCAGGAAGTCCTGCACTATACTACATTACCCGAAGAAGCCCGTGGCCTCCGAAGGTGCGTGAGATCTCGGAGGCCATGGGTTGCTCGAAGTAGCCCCTGTACGTATATACAGAGATGGCAACAACCTGCATGTTGGAGCAGTGGGCGGCCCTATACTGTCCAGCCTGACTGATCAACGAGCACTTATAGACCAGGCTGGACGAAAAGCAAAGGTCATCCCCCCCCCCCCCCTCGTAACACGAGTTTGTTTTTTAGATTTTTTTCTTTTGATTATGTTCACTTCCTTTCGGTTTCACGTGCCTCCGATGGTTCGCACGACCTCGTACTTAACAGCTGTTCGACGAAATTCGACACTGGGGACGCGTCGCATGTGAAACTGATGCTACAGAGAAGAAGGGAGACTGACGGGGGTGAGTGGTGGGAAGCAGAGAGGTGAGATCGATACCCCACTCCCAGAATAAGTGCACCGTGGTCCTCGCCATCCTCGTCTTGCATGTCATGCCAGCGGGCGGGTGGAGCTGTGAATGATGGAGCTGCGTGGAGAGAAGGAAAGGTCTCGGCGCGCGACTGGGCCTCCTGCTCGAGGCTGCTCGCTTGTGGAGAATATCCTCGTCCACATTCTCCCCATCCTCCTCCCGTCTCTGAAACTTTCTGGTCCCATTTCTTCATTTTTGAAAGTTTTCTCATCACCTCCCACCACTGACTGGCCCTTCTTGCCGTTTTGGTGCGCCACACCGACTTCTTCCTTCGCTCTCGAGAGTCGTCGTTGCTTGCATGCCCTGACGGCTGCTGTGACGATGACGGCTCGCCGATGGCCACGGCCGTGCATGCCGCTCCAAGTTTCACGTGTGCCCCCACCGATCAATCACAATTTTTTGGACGTTACTGCTGCACCCCTCGCGACGAGGCCTAACGAAGGAGTGTTCGATGAAGCCTGCGGGCGTTCGCGGCGCTGTGTCGTGTCGACCTCTCCTCCTCCTTCGTCGTCGTGTACGACACGTAGTGGCGTGCCAAGCAAAGCTCTCGACCTCTCCCCCATTCGTCCCGGTCGTGTCGCCTCGACTGGCAATCCTGCATGCTGTGACGACTCGGGTTCCTCTCGGCAAGTCGACACGCTTTACGATCCCTTCCTTGGCTGTGCCATAACCCTTTCCGCAATACTTGCTTAGACGGAAAACTGTGCGTCGCTTTACTGAGCCAAAGGCCTTGGATGCCTCATCAGGCGCCCAAAGCGACCGTCGGCTTCTACACCGGTGCAGCAAAAAAAAAAAAAATCGTCAATTGACGATTGCACTCCGCGACGTCATCGTGACGTTACATGAGGTCACCGCACGCCATAGATGCTTAGCCTATAGCTGGTCCGATCCCGGAGGCACTTCAAAGCCTCATGAGGTTCAACAAGCGGGAGGGGGTGAGGGGGTGTGTTCAACCACTTTGTGTACTGTTCGCACGTGCGTTTGCATGTGTGCCTGTATATATACGTCAGCAAACATGAACGTTTTCGGGGGGGGGGGGGGGGGGGGCAGGGCTGAACTCCACCAATCCAGCCCGTTTGGTTGCGCCACTGGGGATGGGGCCTATGATCAGCGGTGTCGAGTGTCGAGAAGGCGGCGTTCTCCTTCCTGTCATAAGGCAAACGCCACGAGAGACCGTATTTCTTTCATCTGCAAAACAGAGCAGCGACAAAGAATTCGCTACATAACGTATTACGACCCGCATTACCGACTGAACGGAAACATACATGTCCTGTTTTTTTTTTTTTTAATGCGGATAACGTCGTAGTTTTGGAGCGCAACGCGTAGCGGTGTTGTACCTGTCGTTCTGCGGTCCCGACGGCATTGAAAAGAGGTTTGAAGAGCGCGCCAGAAAACAAAAAAAAAAAACAAAATTGAACTGGACAAGACCGGCTCGCCTTCGACCAAACCGGACTCTCTTCGGGTCGTAAGGAGCTTTATTTATTTTTCATCTTGACCGCTTCGATATTGCGGCGTCGAAAGGTAAGGGTAGCACTTGAGAACGTTAAGTGCGTACACGCGTATGCGCTCCCCAGCCAGGCCAAACCACTTCTAGCGCGAGAGTTTTCGCGTCTAGTCCGTGCCGTGGCCCGCTCGAGTCGGCGCTACGCAACCGGGCTGCTTTGCTTGTTAGGCGGGGTCGCTCTCAGCAGCACCGCCTAAACTAAACGGTGTTGCTTGCTCTCAGCTGTGGTGGCGGTGATTCTTGAAGTGGGAAAAGGCACCTCATTTCTTTGTCTGTCTGTCTCTCGGGCGACACGGCGCAGTGTCTCAGCGGGTGTCCTTCTTCTTACCCCTTCTCTTTCCTCCTCGCCAAAATGCTTTCAATGCTTTCCCTGCGCCCGTCTCCTCTCCCCCGGGGCTCTCTTCCTCCTCTTTGCACGCCGTCGACGACACCTCGCTCGTACGGCCTAGCTGTCCTCGGAAATAAACTATTTTCGTTGGGGTCGAGCTGCGTGTGTGGGGTAACTCCCGCGAAAAACGGGGCACACACACACAAGAGACGGCAGACGCGACACGTAAGCCAACCAGACGAGCTGGCCGGCGGCCTCGGCTCTTCGCATTCCCCGGCGGCCGCCAAGGAAACCCGTGCTTGGGAAAACGTCGTTGCTCTCTCTACAGTGTTCTCTCTCTCTCTCTCTCTGTTTTGAACGTTCGTCTTCGTTGCTTTACGCGCAGTGCTTTCCTGGTGGAATGAACACGTCCTAGCATTTTGTCAAGTGCCATGGAACTCGTTGATACGATTCTGCATAATGCGTTTTTTCGGGATCATGCCTTTCTTTCAAAGCGAAGTTGCCCTGTGGGGTCGTCGTAGTAGTTAGAAGTAGCATGTAGTCATAGTAGTAGCAGTACTTGATCGTAATTGTTGATCGTAATCGATGTTGATTGTAATTGATGATTGTGGTTGTTGTGGTTTGGCGTCCACGATACGAGTATCAAGGACGCCGTAGTGAAGGGCTTGGGAAAGGCCGCGCTGAACCGGCGCCGCTTCAGTCGGTAGGACAGTCGTAATGCCTCGTCAATGTACCTGCACTACTTTTGAACGACGCCTTTCTCTCTCTCTTTTCTTCCACCCCTCCCAGTACTACTGCCCAACGTTTATTAGAATCTTGTTATTACCGCAACGGCCGTTTATTTTCGTGTTCTCGAATCGCGCGTAGTCGTTCCCACTGACTTCAAACCAGACTCCGTTTTACATAATCTCGTAGTTGGCTTCTTCGATGCTGTGGCCGCCAGCCTGCTGTCCCCGATATGCGTCCTTCGACGAACCCTGTAACCATTAATTCCGCGGACTCCGTAACGTAGAGCTACAGCAGTGCGTCGAGCCACCGAAGTTCCCGCGTCTAGCGAGGAGCATTTCGGCCAAGTCCGTCACCCCTCACCGAGCGAGCGCTCGCCGCTCGTAGAAAAAAAAACACACACACGCACGCACAAAAAGAAAAGAAAAATCGCCAAAGGGGGCAGATACGAAAAGAAAAAAAAAGAATGCCCATCCAGTGGTGGTGCCCGGCAGGCGGCAACGGCGGGCGAAAACTGGGGCTGGGATAGGGCCTCTCTCTCCCTCTCCTCATCCTCCTCTTCGCACTTATACCCGTTCTTGTAGTTATTTTCATGCACGCCTGGCTCGCCGCCGTCTGCCAAGTTTTTCCTGGGTCGGCTGCTAGCTGCCCCGGCGGCGACGGCGGCGGAACGAGCGGACGGACGGACGACGGCTTGCACGAACGCGACCCCTTCCCCCCCCATCTTGAGGCCACTTTTCTATTTCTTCATCTTTGCTGTGTCTGCTTTCAGTAAGGGTGGCTTTTTCTCTTATGCGGCCTGCCTCCCGTTGGTGCGGTCTTTGTTGTTTTCACGTTGGCGCGTACTTCTCACCCGCCCTTCGCTTCTCCCTGCTAAGCCTACTCCCTCGTGTTTGTTGCTGCGCCTCTCTCACTAGCCTGACCCCCCCTTTCTCGTCTTGCGAGTTGTTTTCTCGCGCACTCCTTCCATCTCGGCTATTCTTGATCCGTGCCTTCGCGGCTGCACAGTCCGGTCGAGTCTGCGCCGCCGAGTTTTTGTTTTCGTTCCACGTTCTTTGCTGTTTCTTTTTGCATCAGCTTAGCGAGCGCGTTGGAATAGTAGGGTGGTGGACTAAGTGCGGCAAAGTGGTGGCTGGATGAGAGAGAAGGACAGCTGACGTTTTTTTTTTTTTTTTTTTTGATGTGCGGTAAAAGGGACGAGAGACGCGGGCGCGTGCTGCTGTGGCATAGCTCGAGCGCAGCAGTGGTGGTGATGGCGAAGGGAACTTGTTCGGCTCACTCCCTGCCACGCTGCGCGGCCGTCGCGGCGGCGGCTGCTGCTGCCGCGAGTGTGCGCGTGTTTCTTTCTTTCTTTTTGTTCTTCATTTCGGGTCGTCCTTGTACTTGCTGCCGTCTAGAATGCGGTCAAGGAATCGGCGGCGACGGCCGCCGCCGCCACCACTTACGCAACATGGCGGCTGCCAGTGCTGCAGAAGTCGCTGCCACCAGCCAGGGCGCGCGTCGCGGGGCGCCCTGTAGCGTTCAGGTCCCAGGTCGTTCCGCAATGTCGTACGAGGCAATAATGCCTTTAGCCAGTGAGTGCCTTCCCGGTGTTGTCAGGCGGTCCTGGGACCGATAGACAAAGTTTGGCGGCAACCCGTCTGGCAGGCTTGCCTTCACCCAGACACCCGTATGATTGATGGACTCTTTTCCTTTTTGTTCTTTTTTGGTATATCAGTGCTCTCGCTGCATCGGAGTATTACCTCGGCAGTCCGCGGTACAACAGACCAGAGGAGTGCCATAGATTCAAGTGCACCTTTTCTGGGTCACGTTTAGACTCCTCGTTTGGGAAGCGCCCTGGATCCTAGCGCCAGAGAAGGTTCGCGAACGACAGCTTCAATGGCTCATAGGGAGATCAAAACGTGTTAAGATAGCGTCCATTTAAAGTTTCCCCGTGTCGCACTTCTATCACGCCATTACGCTTAGTATGAAGTTGATAAGAAGATACCTGACGCGAGTTTTTACGCTATTCCGGCTATCTATCGAACAACCATGCCAATGTGCCCATGAAGTTAGAAGCGTCAAAGGGCGCCTCTTGTGCGGTCCTTGTACTCGGACCCGTGTACGTAAATTCGTGTGATGACGTGAAAGTACGAACGCCTGATAGCACGGCTGGAGGGTCGCCTGTGCAGCAGCTTCCCTGACCTTCGTTTCGTGTCGCACGGCGTTACGCGCAAGCATGCTTAACCCTTTGTGACGATATGTGCACAATTGCGTACACCGCTCGTTTTTGCTATTTGCAGTAAGAAAAAGGCTTTGAAAGAGCGAGATATACCGCACTTGGGATGAATTGAACCTCCTGAATAATAAATTTGACCTTATGTAACTTCATTTTGCAGTGCACTGATACATATAATCACTTTTCTGAGCGCACTACCACATTCGAGGAGTCGTGTGACGTGCCCGCTTCCTGCGAGCTATCTGTAAAGTCTTTCTGTGTTCGAAATAGATATAACAGAAAACAAATTTTGCACTGTATTCTTAGCCTGAGCTTTCAATGTCTATTACAAAAGTAGGCATCAATAACTTCAGAATAAAGAGATACTTAAATACAACTTAATTAGGATGAATCACTATACCACACATAAATTCAACAATTATCTCATTATTCTTGTTGCAAAAGCATACCGAGTGCCTTGCGTCTCTCATAACCATATGGTGGTTTTGGGACGTTAAACCCCACATATCAATCAATACCGAGTGCCTTGAAGTAACGTTGTAGTGATTTGACAAATTTACAGACAGCTCTTTACGGGTGGCATCCGAAAGGGTTAAAAAGAACTCGGCACCCGTATTTGCAGATACCGGAAATGTAGCTACCTTCGCTGTACGCAACTATTGCCGCGAGTACGGGCTGAGACGTGGTTGTGCACGTTTCTCCCCCACTATCCTCTCTTTTTTTTTCTATGCAGTAAAGTTGTCGTGTAGGTTTTGCAAGGCGTTCATGACATACAAAAAAAAAAAAGCCCGAGTAGCAGACATATTCGGCTGTGTCGTTTCACGTCTGTTCCTTAGTTTCGACCCATGCAATCTGAAGAGTGCGCGTACACTGACTAAGTGTATTCTTTTTGTCTCTTTACAGGTGAGTGAATCGACACGAGATGAAGCCGTGCCCGGCTCTGCACGCGAGACAGCGAATGTGCCGCCCACTGGCCGCCTCAATTTTGCCACCGGATACTTGTCCGCCTGTGTTTTTTCTTCGGCGTTTCACCCCCTCGATTCTGCGACGATCACGTCCTACCAGCCGGTGAGCAGACTTTTGCCGACCACTGTAGTTTGCAGTTTTTTGTACAGGTAAGATTACGAAGGTTCGACCGATCCCTTTTTGAGCCACAAACGAGGAGCGCTAACGACGCTGTTTCATTTGTTATGGATCTTTCATCCTGACCGATTGCAATGAACCCCCGCGATGTACAAACCTTTCTATTCGCCCTCTTTTCGGTGAACAAACCTTACACTTATCCGTGCGAGACGCATGACAATTTGTTATAGTTGGAGTTGCGTGCAGCTATAACGATACGGTTGTGTCGGCCCGTTGCGTGCGTTGTACGTTCGATTTCACTTTATATGCGTTCCCGCAGCCGTGGCGTTATGCTTGCACAACCCCTGCAGAAACACTTAAGACGAAGAAAAAGAGATTGAGCACTTTTTTTTATTGCCTCGCGGACGTAGTATCGTCGTCGTCGTTGTTGCCGTCATCCGTATGCTGCACGTAAATACCGCGCTTGCTGGAGCGTAATCAGTGGCACCGAGGGAAAAATGCGCGAGTCGGCACGCACGTCTAAAGCGGCGGCGTCCTGATGTGAGCCTATGTGAGCGCCATCTCTAGGCAGGAAAAGTCACTGCGTATCGGTGATAATTTGCTGCTATTCTTGAATAGTGCAGCGTCATTTTCAGCCGAGCGGCGGCGCAGTGCGCAGCTCGGTCGAGTGAAGGGTGAAAGTCGAGTCGAGGAGCGTCTGTGAGTATGGGGGTTAGAGAGCTGATGTGGCCGCGGCGTGATCTAAGCTGTTTGTCGCTACGTGACTCTGCTTGCTGACGTGACTTGATTGGCGGACGATGTTTCTCGGGCTCACGCAATAGGCGTGATCAATATGTATGCATATAGGCATCGACGTTTCTGACGCTGTCGCGGCGCTCGTCATGGTTACAACGTGCGTGCAAGGTGCTTTTCGCGTGGCGGGGTGTTTGAACAAGCAAAAAAAGTGTGTGGAAAGGTGCAGGGTGGGAGTGTGGCAGCGGCTAACTTAGCGCAATCCTTGGTGCTGTGACCCACCTTTCCTGGCGATCGAAGGCATAACGTATGTTTTGGTGGTTGTGCAGTGTTGCGGGAGCGTTTATTTATTGATATTTATTTAAAGTATCGAGATGCAGCGAAATTCCATCTTTGCATAGGAAAGTGGGGCACTTACATATTTAATGAGATGAACATGGTGGGGGGAAACAATCGTGTTGCGATGAAAATGCAATAAAAAAAGTGTGGAATGCCATTGTTGGCATCATGCGGTGTATCGTGTATAATCTCGCTGGTGACGCGTTTTCGATTTCACGCCAAGAGCGATGCGTTGCGTTTTGCCTTCCGCTTAATTTTTGGATTTCGCGTCTTTCCCTTGTGATTTTATTGCCGTTATAATATAATGAACGTCGTCTGCCCTCTTGCATCTGTAGAGAATACAGAGTGGGAGAGATGATCAAGAATCGTGGCGTATTCCTTCGTGTCTTGTGTATGGCTTTTTATGTATTATATGCTTTTTTTTTCGTTCACCCTGCCGTATCCAAATCCCGTACCGTACCATAATACTCCTTACCGTTCCTTCTACCGTGCCATAGTACTCCGTACCGTTCCTTGTACCGTACCATACTCTGTACTGTCCACTCTACCGTACCACAATACTCCGCACCGTACCGTGTCGTATATCCCGTACCGTTCACTCTATACCGTACACGGTTCTCGTCGTTGACATCGTCGCGCCCTATGTTACTCGCTAATATCCGTCATTTCGTCGCATACCGTCCTCCCTGTGTAGACACACACGCTTGTGTACGCGACGCATACACGCACACACACACACGTTGTGCGCTCAGGCACAGTTCGCGTGCTCGCCAGGCCCAGCGGAGTGCAATTAGCGAGTCATGATAATAACGACGCCCTTCGTTATCGTCACCCGTCTGCATGCGACATGCCGCGGGGCTTATCTTTTATTCAAGTCGCGTCGCCGCATGTTGCTGCATGTTTGGAGGGAAGAGCCACAAGCATATGGGTGCGTGCGTGTGTGCGTGTGTGTGTGTCGCCTTTCTTTCGGGTCGCTATTCTTTGCGCCCCTAAAGTTATGCAGAGACTGGAGAGAGAGAAAGTGTGTTTTGCGGTGATGCGGTCTATTCACATCCACGCGTCGTTTGTTGTACACAATAATTGTTGGAGTTTCGCGTCCCAAAACCACGACAAGATTTACCCACTAGGGACGCTGGGGTGGAGGGCGCTGGATGTTTAGGTCGCTTGATTGGTACACCGAACAGAGCTTGATTGATCGCTTGATTGGCGCAGGCGGCGTGCCTTCGTCGAAAATGGTGCCGCCGCGGACGGTATTTCGATACAGCGGTCTTTGGGTCTGCAGCATAATCACTAGATCACCGCGCGAGGTATTGCTTCGATACTCGTACAACTTTGTGATGGCGCTAGACTGGTTACAGTGTTCCCCGGGTTGTTATACATTAACAACCTGTATCGATCTGTCGTGCGTAAAATTCTGTTCTACTTTATGCCCCCTCACTGCGTGCATGTAAGTTTAAAGAAAAAACTTGAAATAAATAAGATAAATAAATCATGGTAGCACCTGGCACATACATCTCTCGTTTTTTCTGGACGCGGGAGCCGTGTGGATGCGGAGCTTTTGCATATGTTCAGGGATAACCCCAACCTCCTTTCTTTTGACTACCCTTCCCTTGCGAAATACTTCCGCGTATTCAACCGCCGCTTCGATAGGTACTAAAAGCAACAATCAACCGCCCCCGCCCCTGAACCCCCTCTCCCACTGTGCCAGTGCCTTTATAACTGCGCTTTGTTTCTATCTATCCCTCATTTCCTCTCATTTCGCGATTCAATTAAGCTCCGGCGCGTCATCTCATTAAGAGGAAACGTGACACCCGGCAGTAGGGGTGGGAGCCCGGACCAGTAGCTGCCGGATGGATTCGACTTCGCTCGCTTATCTTATCTATCTTCGGGTCATCGTTTTGCGCGACCTCTTCACACACCGCGCGGTGCGCGATTCGCGCGAATGGTCGTCCGTCGCACGTAGTGCAGCGCCCCCTTGTACGCAGAATCTTGCGAGAATGCTTTCGAGTTCCGCCGTTCTGGGCTCTTCTTGACATCGCCGTTCCGTTCGCACGTGTAACGACGATTTGAACAACTATGTGCTGTGTATACACCATTCGTAAGGGCGAGAAAACGGCTGTGGGCACGGGGATGTATTTGGCTTTATGCCGCATTCATGACGTGTACTCTGTACGAAACCGAGAAAATTGTTTGATGCGAAATCCCAAGATGGCGATGGCCACCACTCATAGAGAACGAGATCGCTGATACACGCACGTCGCAACGCTGCACATTCATTCATTCATTCATTCATTCATTCAGTATGGCCGTAATGACACTTTCCACATCGCCGAAGGTAGGCAGGAAAAAAAAGTGTCTCAGCGTTCGGAGACTTTCCGCGAGAATGACTACAGAGAAACTCTAAAAGTTAAGGGAAAAAAGGAAGTATCAAATTGGTTTCGTAGCCCTAAAAGTTTTAGTTTTTCGTTTTTTTTTTCCTTCGCTCTATTGCTTTCTTGCCGGTTGACTGGCTCAGTCCATAGATTCATTTTCTATTCTCCAGATATTCTCATAATGCACACATTTACTTCTTGAAGATATCCTTTACTCGCGCGAGTTGGTTGAAGTTTTTTTTTTTTTCTTTTTACGAAGCAACGCGTGATTATACGAAGGACGGGAAAATCAGCGCTTGCCTTGCATTTAAAAACTCCTGGTCTCGTCCTTCGTCTCTAGTAACGCGACGTTTCGTCAAAACCAATCTCTCTCTCTTTCATCCCACTCTCTTTTTTTAAAGCTGTGTTGCGCGTCAGAAATTCGATTCACGCTGACCTCTCTCGCGTTCACTTTCGCAACCTCTCCCCGCTTTCGTCCTCCACGCGCGTTCCCGCCGGCGTCGTCACGGCGAATGAATTCGCGATCGTTTTAATTGCGGGCGCGAGACCAAACGAAGGTTCCCGCTAGCGTCATCCTGCGTGCCGCGATGTCTGGCCGAGCCACGGCGCAAAGAAAGGCGTCGTCGCGCCGTCGCTATGCAGCCGTGCGCCGTCCTACCGACCTGCGAAGCGACCTCCCCCGCTGTCGCGCTCGCCGACGTTGCCAGGGCGGAGGCGACGAGAACAGTACCGCGTTTACGCGTTTACTGTGCGCTCGACGCAAGTTTCCGAGCCTCTAGTCCAGACCAGTGGCTGATCCAGTGAAGGGCGTTGCAGTTGAGGCGGTCGCTCTCCTCCCCCTCCTCACCACAAAGTATATTTCCGCACCCCCGTCGCTTTAATGCTTCGTAGTTCACCTCCTATTAGCAATTAAGAGAAATTAGTGAAACCAATGTGAGCTCACATTACGCGTTGAAGGATTTTTTTTTTTCTTGCAAAAATAAAACAGCCGTGACCACGCCCCCTTCTGCGGTGTTACTCCAGACGACCGCCCCCCCCCCCCCCCTTCCCGAAAGAAAAGAAAAAAAAGGAGTGGCTGGGTCTGCCCCTGGTTCAGACATGCATACACAAATACATACATACATACATACATACATACATACATACATACATACATACATACATACATAAATACATTCTTTATTTCCAACAAGTCTTTTACAACCAGTTGGGGGGGTCCTTCAGGCGAAAAGATTGAGAAGACAGGCATTGGTGATTGACAGACATGGGGGGCTTGACATTTGAAGCGCAAATGTCAAAGTATAGTTCTTTCGTGAACTCGTCGTTGCAGTTCGTGACATGCATGCACGTAAACAGAAACGCATTATTCTCACGATGCCACGGCGCATGCGCCCTCCCCCTGGTGGGAAAGTCGCGAAACGCTTTGGTAGAGCCATGGCCTCTGAGGTGGCGCTCATCTCGGAAACCATGGTAGGGTCCCTTCACGCCTTTCCATCCCGGAGGCTCTTGCACCTGCGCAAGTACGGTATACGCGAGGTTACT